CACCTCCCACCACTTTCATACTGCCACGCACTCCTGGTCACTATCAACTTGACAACCACTACAACACCATTGTATTGTTGTAGACAGTTGAGTTTCAACCACTTAAAGTCTAAACCAGTGATGCTTGGAGCAATCCTAAAATCAGGCTCTCCTCTATTCAAATGTTCAAATGTTTTTGTTTATATATACTGACTAAAGGGAACTATATTGTCCCTCCCAATTAAATCTGTCTTCATTTTCTCTACCACTTCCCAGGTTTACTCAGCCACACAGAGCAATATAGTGAGTCTAGACAGTCAAGGGTGGGGGGTGGGCAGTTGGGAGCTTGCATTTGCTGCTGAGCCCTAGATATTGCTTCATATAAAGGAACCTCCCAAGGTATTCTGAATTCCAGCAAGTTACTCCATGAATACAAGCTTCAGTAAAGCTAGGCTTTTGTGTTATTTCTTCCTCCAGTATTGACATCATAGGCAAAAACTTCCAGAGACAAAAATACATTAAATTTAAAGTGCAGATATTTTTACAAAAATATAAGTCCCATAAATTTTAAGTTTTGTAGCTATAAATACTTTTGAAAATATAACTTTATTGTTTCTAAGCAATACTATTAAAGAAAAAATTAAAACACTATTGAGAAATTAAGCTATCCTGTTTATTATTTTATCTTTTATGCTTATTCTCCAGAATTGTCTCAGACATTGTCTGATTATTTCTCTAACATCTTCATTTAACACATATATTTTAGAATTGAATTCAAAGTCTAGAAAAGAGATAAGATATGCATATATCCCACTGAAACTTAAGTATTATAAATAGGGTACAATAAGGTATTTTAGAATGGGGTGATGAGTGGGCCCACTAGAAAATTCTTTGGAAGAAGGATGACATGTGAGCTCAGTTTGAGGGTTACACAGGAGTCTGATAGAAGAGATGGAACACAGACATGTAAACGTGGAAGAAACCAAATGGATGAAGAAGCTCCAGATGTCCTTCATTCAGAACAGCAAGTGTGTCAGTGTGAACATAAACAGCTGAGGTCCATGGTGCACACTACAGCTGTTTCCTTGCCTGAGTTAATTCTAATTCTGAGTTGTTCAACTGAGTGACCCACACAGACAAGCTGAGGGAAAGGTCAGCTTTACCAGGCATGAAGCGTATGCACTAGGCTGTAAAACAGGAATGAATTAGTGCAGTCTGCTAAAAGGGAAGATGTGATGCCAATGCAGATTTCAGTAGAGAAACAAAATAGATGAGGTGGGGCTCAACAACATCCATAAGGTGGATGCTAGAACTAGCTTAGCAGTTCCACATTCATGTGCGTGATGGGGAAATCAGATGTGTGGACTTGAATACAGCTATTTGTCTGTTTCTTGGAGAGGACTGAACAGACATTATAAGGCCCTTGGCTTTCTTTTGAAGTTATTGTAGAACGAGTCTACATGGAGGCCACCCCATGCATACTAGGAAATACATGAAGACAGTACAGAGAGCATTGCCAGATGGAAATATCGAAGACAGAGCCATGGAAGGCTGGTTGAATTGATAAAGCAAAACCCAAAGAAAATATTATTCAATGGTGAAAAAAGGAAAGATATAGACGATCACACAATACTTCAGAGTCATAAATCCACAGTAAGGCAGGCTAGAAGAAAATACATTAGTTCAAAAGAATCACTTCAGTGCTACCTCTGGACTTTGTATTTTTCCACTAGTTTTGCCACTGAATAAGCCTGGGCCTAGAAGACTAGCAGACTATTAGAGTTCACATTCCAATATACAACAGAGACAAGATGTGAGTCTGCTGCCAGTGTTCATACTTGGTAATCTCTTGTCTCTTCATTTGATGCCCTAAAGCTCATTTCTTAACCCTAAACCAAACTCTCTCTAGGGTTTCCAGTTTCTATCATCATGTCTGTGGTTCCAGATTCTCTCCCAACTCTGGGCTTGTACCTACCTAGTCTGATTCTCCCAAAGCAGGCTGACTGTGCCTGACATCTGCATTTGTCTGCTTTTCCACCTCTTACCCACAACCTCTCCTCTTACCTTTAATAGTGCTGATCATCTTTATGAAACAGGACACACCTCACAGGGAGTCTGGAAGAGTTCCCACAAGAAGGAACATTTCAATACCCTCAGATCAAAGAATTTTTGCCCCATGTATGTTAAGATTTTAAGTATATCTATTCTTTTTCCTTAATCAAACTATGAGCTCTTCAAGAAAATGTCTGTCTTTCAATAGTAAAATTTAACTCTGCATATTAATTGATGATAATGGTAAGAATGAGGATGTGGCATCAATAAGTCAGTGTATGCTTTGGCTGTTGAAGGACTGTAGTAAGTACTAATTACAAATATGGAGATTGGCTGTTTCAACAATTAATCTGAAAAGACATATAGACTGTAAGAGGACATTGAAAGTTACACAGAAATGGCTCTTTGGCCAACTTTGAGATTTGAGCTTTATTCCTTAAAATAAATGCATTTTAAATAATCAAGCTAACCGTATTCTAAAAGACTGATCAATATCAATCTTCCATTCTTATGAAAGTAATAAAGTCATAAAAGTACTCATAATTATTTTTAAATACCCGTTTCAGTGTGTATTCTAAAATTAATGTCCCTTACTGTTACAATGGGGCACAGAGATCTGCACCCTGGTTAAAGCCAGCCCACAGTTCCAATGTTAATCATATTTAGGGGCAACACAACATAAACCCTGGCTGGCTTCTAAATCTACATTTCAAAGATAGAAAGAAACCAATGAATCAAAATGAAAATCAAACAAACATCCCAGACTAGACATTCTACATACTCTGAAGTTACTGTTAGTCTGTTTTTACAAGTAGACATGAGAATCATGAAACTTATTTTTCATAATTTGAATATTAAATAAGACACAGAGACCATCACAATCCCTTATGTAGGATTGAGCTCCTAAGTTCTTCTTTATTTTAAATAAAAATCCAATAAAGAAGCCAGAGAAATGGTTCAATCCACAAAGTTCTTACCACATAAACACTAGGACATAGGTTTAGATCTTTAGCCATTTCATAATCTCCTAAGCCAGGAAAGGTGATATAAATTGATAAAGCTAACACTGGAGAAGCATAGACAAGAGAAAATATGGTTCTCATTGGCCATCTACAATGGCTGGTTTGGGGAATCCCAAGTTGAATGAGATACCCTGTCTCAAAAATAAGGTCTCAGGTGATAGAGGAAGACATCTATTTTCAACTGGTGACCTCCACATGCATGCACCTACATGTGCACGTGCACCTACAAACACAGCATGTGCACACACATTATGAACATTTACGTACACATACACCACATACACACAAGCACACACATATACATGAAGCCACTTAAGACCTATCATCATCAAATAAACTTAGAGTGGTCAGCTTAGAGAGGATCCATAATTTATTCTTGTTGAAGGCTCACTACTGAAGGAACATAGAGAGGTTTTCCCCTTAAGCACTCCAAAAGAAACATATTTATTTTGTATTCAATATTATCATATCCTGTATGGAATTTAGAAAACTGAACAATCTCTTTAGATACCAGATATAAATAGTGCTAGCCTAAAAATCCATTCCACATTTCTTCATGATATATTGTCACCTTGTAGCATTTATCTTCAAGAATTAAACCACAGGCTATTCCAGTTAATTATCACAAACCTTCTCACCATAGCCTTAAGAAGTATGCAGCAGAGAAACATTAGTAAGTGGCCATTCAGACAGACAATGAGTGATGAGACCAAGATCACCTGCTACATGGTACCTTTCTACCTGCTACATGGGTACAAGAATCCCAGTTTCTGATGAGGTGTCTTAAATGCAACCTTTCTTTAGCATAAAACATTTTCAAATAAAGTTAAAATAATGTACTATTTTGTAAAGGGTAATGGAAAGTTAGAACTGCCATATTTCTATTGATTTATCTAAAGGAATAACCAGCAGAACTAATATAAATACAGGGTGAAAAGGGACAATGGGAATGCCCTAAAACTACCTACATCACACAACCTGCCTAAGGTGGCCTTTGAATGTGTTCATTAAATAAGCTTTTCTGTCACTGAAGTATTGGCTAGCTGGCTTTGCTAGCACAATGCATTCTGAGTTCATGGCAATAATATAATACAGTTTGAGAGCTTGTCTAAATATGTAAGGTATGCAAATAAATAATTTTAAAGAACTAATTTTGTGTCCCAAACCTATTTATTTATATGAAGTAATTAAGAACAAAATGATTCTTTAAACTGTGATTCTTTGGCTAGGGTTATAGTTACACTTTGAAGCTTATAAACAATAAATCAGCTAAAGAAGTTGAACAAAAACAAGTACAAAGTGATTTTCATATTTGCAAGAAACAAAAGTCTACTTGCAGACATACATGTGTGCCAATAATTCAGAACTCTTCACTAAGTCTCAATCTGAGTTGTTTAGATACACTATTTACAGGAAGGTCCTATGGGGCCTTGAGCATAATCTTTCTACTAAGTAGACTGAAAGTCAATATGGGGCCTGGTCAGATGGCTCAGCCGATAAACGCCAAGCCTGAGGATCAAGGTTTGATGACCTAAGTTCATATGCTGAAAGAGAGAACTGACTGCTGAAAATTGGCCTCTGATTGTCACCCCTTCATCATGGCATGTGACCCACTACACAAAGGAATTAAATGTAAAAAGAGACATTTAAAGTTGATACAGCAGCTATTTAGGAACAGGGTGACCTTTCTTCTGATCAGAGCAGAGTTTAGAATACTTAGGAACAGTGGATATGAAGGTGCTTACGTTTACACTGAAATTGCAAGGGTTCTTAACAACAGAAACATGAACAGAAGAGTGTTCAGATAAGGATATACTTGAAGAAAATGTTTAAAATTAGAGCAAAATGAGTGGGAAAAGATTAAAGAGCATCATGAAGGAATTTATCTATGCTGTTTTATGCACCAAAAACATTTCTTTGATATACACCACGTGAACAATGTCTTACCATATACTCCATATTAGAAGCTGTTGGGTACACCTGACTTCTCAGTTTATTATGGAGATCCAAGATGCTCTGCATGTCATTGTCTGTGATGGCTCTTTTCCCTCTTTGCTTAGCTGTCCACCATTCACCGTCTTCATCCATGTACTTTTCCAAAAGTTTCTCCAACAAAGTGGCATTAGGAACCACCATAGCTGGAACTGCTCTAGCCACGAATAGCAGTGCGGTCATTCTGAGCCACTCCCGTGCCTTACACATCATAATGAATGGCCTCGGGGTTTCCACCGGAAAATATCCAAGACAGGCTCTTCCACTCTTTTTGGCTATAAGACATGTCACATGATTCAGATGAAATTATTTTATGATAGCAAACACCAACATGTAAGTACTCTGATTTTGAAAATCATTCGTTCTCTAACGTCTCCATTTTCCCGTAAAGAACTTTTACAATGCATTGGCACAAAATATTTTTCCAAGCTACCCACTAAGCCAAAGGTCAAGGGCAAAAGTAGCCGGGGAAGCTCAAAGCTTGAGAATAATCTCTGAATTACAAGGTTTTAAATGACATACCCTGCAATGAGTACTACTTATATAGTGTTTTATTTTTGTCTGGAGGCTTATATTTTCTGTAGAAACTTTAAAGTTCTTATTTATTTTGCTTTGTTTTATTTCACTTTTAAGGCACAAAATCCCAGCATTTCGTCTCTGGTTCATAGCCATTCATACACTACTCACGCCTGTGTTCCTGGGTACCTGGAGAGGGCCCCGTGATTCACTGCAAAATGAATGGCTCAGGTCCCTGGGGCAACTTTTTTTTTTCACCCATTCGCAGATGGAGAAATCAATCATATTCCCATATTCCGGCAAAGGTTTTGCCCAACATGTGAACTATACCCTACCAAGAGCGCTCCTGGAGAACTTCAGCTCATGTCCTTAACACACAACGGGAGCCCACAATTCACTGAACCCTGCAGGGAAAGCACCCCTAGGACAAGCTTAAACCAGGGTTTCTGACCTGCAACCCACTTACCCTCTCAGGGCCAGACCTTTCTCTACAAGTCAGTGTTTTTCCTAGATCATGTTTCCAAACGGGGAACCAGGAAAATCTGGCAGCTGGACCACTCTGGATGCAGCTTGTGCATCGCCCTTACCTCTCCAGTGTGATGTTCCCAGAGAGCAGAGCTTAGCAGGTCGACTTGTCTCTGCAGCTGCTCCCAGCCTTGAGTCTGCCCACAGAGGCGACGATGGGGAAGAACCCGGCCACTGCGGGAGTCTGATTGAGGAGCTGGCTGACCCCTTGGGGACAAGAGCCCCTACCTCCCTGCCTCCGCGACTCTTCGCAAGCCCGAGAGGAGCAGAGGGCACGGACTCCAAAGTTAGCGGTGTGGCCCCGGAAAGCAGCTCGCAGAGTGGGCTCCCCGGTATTCCAGAGCTGCAGGATGAGGTGGGACAAAGGGAAAACTCGGGGACCTCCTGCTTCAGCAGGGTGCCTTCTCAGCGTGCAGAACCCTGGCGCCAGGCACTTCCGCCGCTCCTCGGAGCTAGAGAGCATTTATTGAGGTCCCTGTGCAGACACGTGATGCCAGAGCCCTCCTTGCTCACTCCCCACCTCTACCTCCACCCAATCCTGGCCAGAGGCCGACCAGGAGTCAACTCGCAGAAAGCCAGAGGCTTTCGTGGGCGGGCTCTGTGCCTCTGTGAGTGGAAACAGGCAAGGACTGGACCCTGGGGGTGGGGGGGAAGAATGTTCCTAACTTCTGCTGCCTCTCTCAGATCAGACACCCTCCCCCTAGTTCCTCTCTGATGTGATGCTGAAATTCCTTACAGTCTGGCTGCAGAGGAGCTAGCCCCAGAACTTGAGGTAGGTGGGCATGGAAGTACGTACGCTCAGAACTTCAAGTCTTGTACACACAAAAGGAGATCTAGGGGGTCGAATGAAGAGAGAAATGCTTTTTGCATTCTCTAATGGGTCCCCATTGGTCTCTAGTTTCTAGAAGTCTTTCTTTGTCTACTAAATCTTAATGAGGACTAGATGGAGAAGGAGTTTCAGAAGACAATTGAAGCAAATATTGCCTAACAGTTGAGACCTGTACTTTTAGTCATGAAACATGCAGCACTGGCTTCTCAAAAGGGATCACCGGCACTTGACATTTGTGAAAAAAAAAAAAAAGAGTACGTTAAACAATATATCATTGATAGACTGCCAGGCTCTCAAATCTCAGTCCCAGGACAGATACCTGTGTTGCATCCTAAAGTAGGAATTTACTAATTTTAAATTCCAAAAGTGCTTCCTGCCCTACTTGAGTGTGGTGCAGTTTGTACAAGCATACTTTGTTTTGAAGTGGATTACCTAATTGCCCAGTCTTTGCATCTGCTCCTTTGAGAGTCTGCAGCATCTCCAAGTTCTGTCTCTGTATCTGGTGACAGGAGTCCTTGATGTCTGGAACAGCAAAGAATGGGGAGGAAGTCTATCAGAAAGAGGAAGTTGTGGGCCACACCAAACCTTCTCAGGTGTAGATTCACAAGTTTTATCTTCAGCATTGTGCACACAGAATGGCTGCAAATTTGTAGTTTGGTAATATTAATTCATAATTCTTGTCCCTGACATTCAGGAAACAGGACTTTTGCATCTGAAACAGGCAAGTTCGTGATAAAAGACAGGTGATATTACTGAAGATGGAGACCATGTCTACACTGAACACTTTATATGTCATCGAAAATCATAGAGAGAATTGAGTTCAACCTGTTAAAAGTAATTGCATACATTTGAAATATTTAAAAAGGAACGTAAATAAAGATGATAAGACATTTGGAAAGACAATTATCATATTTTAAAATAAGAATGACCTAACCATTCATCATATTAAACATTAACCTTCAATAATCTTGCACTTCCAATTCAGTTATATAAGCTTTTCTGATACAGTTTGTGTTTTTATTTATTATTGCAAAGTCTATTTGTCAGCAGAAGAAAACATCTTATCCATGTAAAATGCATGCCAATATGGCATTTTGGTTTATGAGTGAAGCAGTCTTCTGTAAAGCCATGGTGGGTTGTAGCATTTCTACTCTGTTGTGGCAGACACTGTTGTGTACTTGACCAACACAGGGTCTCTTTATTCCATCCAAGTTTCTAGCCTCTGGTTTTACAAGGGGTGCCCACCTGCTCATCAGCAGCAACCTTAGGAAACAACTGTTGTTCATTCTAAGCAAGTGTTCACAATAGAGCCCCGGAGCAGTGATTAGTGTAGTACGAGACAGTTCAAGCAACACTTGCTCATGCTTCAAGGAAGACAGGGCTGTATTTGGAGTTAAGGAAAGCGGTTGCAAAGGTTTTCTTTTGTGATCAAAAAATTATATCTTTAAGTACTAAGTTGTGAGATTTGAAAAATATAGGTGCTATTGAGCAAAGACAAGGGACAAACTAAAGGAATGACCTCTTTACCTGTTGAACAAAAGAACAAATAGCGTCAGTCCCTCCCTGCTCCTGACCAATCACTCCATTTTCTTGTTATGTGACATAAGAAATGCATGTTTAAGCCACACTGACTTGGCTTGGGTATTAGCTTCTTGTAGCCTAAAGCACAGCAATCCACATATTTCTGCAAAGACGATTCTCTTTTGCTACTGTTATATACCCCATGCTGTAATTATCCATGTATGTGGAGACTAAGAAATTAATTTAAAATGTGTGCTAGCCTACTTATGAATTTCCAAGTGAGTACATGTTGTAGAGCTGCCAGTTACTCCAAACTGCCGTAAACTCACGTCCAATTTATCAGGACATTGTTACATCTCTTTTCCTGGTGATGTGTAACGATACATTTCTTATGTTTAGTACTTTAATAAATAGATTTTGTATGGATGTATTCATTTACTTTTTATTTTCCTCTTCTGTGTACATGTTAATGTCTGCATATATGTGTATGTGTACAATACATAATGTCTGGTACCAAGGGAAACCTTTGATGTATGTATGGTATAAGTACCTGCATGTTTGTGTATATGGGCAATATATATGATGCCTTGTCCCCAAGGAAGCCAGGAGTCCTCTGGAGCAGGAGTTGCAGGAGGTTGTGAGCCACCAAGTCAGAGTTGAGAGCCAAACCCAGTTTCTCTCCAACAGCAGCACTTGTTCTTAATCCCGGAGCCATTTCACCAGCCCTGGACCCTGTAGGAGAAATGCTTGTCTACCCCAAAGTCATGAAGAAAACACTGCTGTTATGTTTTAATTGTACTGCTAGCCATTTTCCAAACATGTTTTTGTCCCATATGAGTTGGATTTGTGCTCTCCTGTGAAGAAGGCACTTCATTTAGAGTCACTCTCTTGAATTTGTCAGCATAAAGTTCAAATTTCAAAACTAAGATACAGAAATAAATCCCATCGTTGAGGCCAGCTTTATTATGATGCTTCAGTTGGGTTAGCAGAAACTGTAACTGCTCAGAGCAACATTCCTGTTATTAGCTGATACATTTTTTAGTGTGTCTTGGGGTATAGGAAAAGAATTAGCCTGTTTTTACATTTGAATTAGACCCTTTGTTGTTACTTTGCAAGCAGGGTGCTCCTCATTCACTACCTTCAGGAGTTCTTCTTTAAGTTATCTTTGCTCACAGCTGGACCACTCTCTATGCATTTATAAAGCATCCAGTAATTTCCTTGTGCTTCTTTGTCTGCCTAATCTGCCTAAAAAATTTGTAACATTCAATCTGACTATCTAACTCAAACTATCCCCTGCCACAGGTTTACATGGTTCAGCCATCCCTTCTGTGACTTCCCTGTCCTCTTCCAATTTCTCAAGTGAAAGCTACTTGTATACTTGCCCTACTCCACAACAATGGTAAAATTCCTTATAGAGTAAGTTGTGTATATGCATTTTTTATCTCTTACACTGTACGCACAGATGAGTGAGACTTTTTGGCAATGCAAAACATGATCTTGAGAAAATATGTTAGTTGATTTTTCCTATTGTCTTAACAAAATTCTATACAGAAGCACGAAGGAAAAAGGGTTTATTTACGTTTACAGTATAGAGTAGATATAGTCTTTCATTACTAAAGGTATAGCTGAAGAACAGATTAAGCAGAAAATGGCTGGCCAGAGACGGGAGCCAGAAGTAGAGAGCTTGTTCAGGAAGCAGAGAGTTATGGCTAGAAGGAAAGTCAAGCAATGACCCTTAAGGCACAACTCTAGTGGCCTCCATATGTCAGCTAGGCCTCATGTCCCAAAGGCTGTACAACCTCTAAATACAATACCATTAACCAAGGTCCAACTGTGTAAACACATTTGAACCTAAGAGTATGTGTGCTCCAGGATGTGCATAGCAGACAAATTGGAATCTACAAAATAAACAAAGCTCATCATGCTTGAGATGATTGTCACCTAAGATATTTCCTTGGGGGCAAAACATTTATGACTAAAGTAAGTATGTGGGAGACAGTCATGCTATGGAGGGAGGGGCATTTATTTTAAAAGTAAAAACTGAACAGGACATTAGCAACTATAGGAAGTAGCTCCAAACAAAATAACATTAATAGATTTTCAGTATTTTCTAGTTAAGAAATACTGTCCTAAGACATTCATTTAAATCAAAATTTATGGGTATAAACTCTCTCTTAAGTAAATAGATGCACTGCACGTCTAAGCCATTTATTCTTTTCCATATATGACCTGTAGAAAATGTTTTATAACAGTAGAAATGTCACATATTTCAGAGAGCTATATTTGTGTTATGAATATTATCTCAATTAGTGGATTATGTTTCTACCTATCACCATATAATCTATATTACAGCATCAGCAGACTTTTAATCTAGAGCATGTCCAAGATTAAAAGATACATTCACTGACATAAAACCATCCCTCTGGTCTGAGCAGTATATTCTTACTTCCTTAAAGCACAACATAGAGAAATCCAAACGTATTTTCAAATGAAAGAAGTTGTAGGGCACATTCAGGGGTAGCCACCCCTTATCTAGACCTGCAGATGTGCTCCACAGAGTGTTTGGGGTAGAAGTCTTCCAAATTTACTGGGAAGAACCGCTGAGAGAGGAGCATTGTTACAGCAAAAGTCTCCACTCTTTCATCTGTAGAATTAATGGCTGAAGCAAGTTTTTCATTCCAGCCTAAAAGACATGAAAGCGTCCTCAGCTGTCATAAGCTAGCCTGTAAAGGAATAGTCAACTAAATCCCATATTCTACTTTAAATGACAATTTTATAGAATCATGCTTAATTAAAGTGAAAAACCTCTAGTATCTGACAT